TCGTTTATGAACCGTGTTTGTGACTAATTTGAGGACCGGGTGATTAATATGGATCCTGAGCGTACGTAAATATACAAACCATTGCTCTGTATCGATAGATCTATAGTCCGTGACATTTTCTATGATGTCGTTGATCAGTGCTCACACTATCGATCATTGGTCAGTGTGCTTATTTTTAAGATACTGATACAGGTGTTGACCTCGGCGCTTAATGCCTTTCAGTGTAAAGTAAATGTAAACCTTTATTTCTTTGCACACCTGCGTGAATTATAAAAAAGCAAACAATGTGGTATTTGAATATACATAGAAATGTACGTAAATGACAGTGTTAAAGGAGATGTCTGTAAAGTGAAAGAACAAACAGACAAGTGGACCATTAAAAGAGGTTCTGATGGGGCGGATGTGGGCGTAACGATGTTAGGAAGTTCGCCCACGTAGATATGTTGGAGTCTTCTAGAATGTTTGCCAATGTCCAACACTATCACAACCTCAGTAAGACAGTAAATCATACAGATGTGCCTCAGGTCCGACCTGACGACCCGTACGTACGTCTTGTGTCACATAACAGCTCCGAAACCTCCAACCCAGAACTATTGTGACAGTTACGACAGACGGTGCCTCCACAATAAGCCCAATAATCACAACCCTCTGTCTCTGTGGCGTCGCCACTACTGCAAGCATTGGTCACCGCCACTCTCTTGACACTGACGACGCCTGTGACTGTTGAGAAAGCCGCCGTGTCACTTGGACGAGATTACGACGGGGGTAATTGTCATATCGTCCCCCCTCCCCCAGTTTACCGTTACATGTAGCCAGCGTACCTGACATGAAGCGAGCTGATTAGTAACAAGATGATGTGTTAGTTTCGTGGCGATCAAACGCTGAAGGCCTTGAAGTTCTTCCTCATGGTTCCAGGGTGTCTCGCCATTGTGTCCTTAGCAAATTCAATCCAAACATACTTGATTTTAACCATGGCTTTTCATTAGGACCTTTGGAATAAGTAGGGATAGTTTGATTTGCGTTATAATCGACTTATCGGTTCCATAGCGGGGAATAGGGAAGTTGCTTCAGGAAAGGAACCATTCCCTCAGCAAGCGCTTCATGAAACTAATATTGTTTTGCTGGTGGGACGGGACATGCTCACTCTTTCCGAAAACACCTGGTGTCATTACTGATTTTCAGTGACCCATTCATAAATTTGCGTTAGTTTTCCCTTAACGCCCAGTTGAATATCAGCGGATAATCGAGGCTGGTTTCTTTGTGTCAGTGTCGACCTAAATGGATCAGGTGGTCGGAGTCAGTTACGTGGTTGATTGCAGGCGACGTTGTAACGACGTTTGGTGTTGCTCATGACATCATTTACGGCCGTGTTGCAACTTTAAAAGTGCTGACTGCGGCGTGAGCGAACAAACAAACCGTCAGTCATATACGAACGTTCGTTTTGACCCAGCTCTTGGTTATACAAGTGGTTTGAAGTATGAGTAACGTCCTTCAAGAAATATATGTACACAGTGTCCGTGATTCCATTATAACTCAGGGGCGGTGGGGTAGCCTAGTGGTTAAAGCGTTCGCTGGTCACGCCGAAGACCCGGGTTCGATTCCCCACATGGGTACAATGTGTGATACGCATTTCTTGTGTCCCCCGCCGTAATATTGCTGGAATATTGCTAAAAGCGGCGTAAAACCTCACTTACTCACTAACTCACTCGATTATTAATCTGTTCTCGTTGTAATGTAACGTCCTGTCTAAGATTATCACTTCGGGTGAGTGAGTGAGTATGGTTTTACGCCGCTTTTTAGCAATATTCCAGCAATATCACGGCGGGGAACACCAGAAATGGGCTTCACAGACTGTACACATGTGGGGAATCGAACCCGGGTCTTCGGCGTGACGAGCGAACGCTTTAACAACTAGGCTACCCCACCACCCCACTTCGGGTGAGTATTGCGAGTATTTGATACATTACAACCCGCGGGGTACACGGGATATGGTGCTGACAAACGCGGCATGTTGGGGGAAAGGACTAGGGTATGTAAGCCTTACACATATACACTTTGAACCCACGAGTATGTAGTGTACCCTTGAACCAGGACCAGGACGAGGCCCACAACAGCTGTCAGTATACCTTGTACTATGTCTGCCACAGATTCCTGGCAAAGCATTACTAATAGAAGCGCCGTATCAACTTTCCCAGCCCGCATGGAAGGCTAACCTTTTCGCGAACACCTGGTGTCCTTACAGCGATACACAATCACATACTCATGATAATCATTGTATTCCGAATCGTACAATGCTTTAAGTAAAGGTTTCTTATGTTTAGGGACTGAATATTTTGTCGTTTTTTACAGTGGGAAAGTATGTGTGTCATTAGCTGGTGACTTAACGATAGTTCAAACTTGCAACACCCCAAATACCCACAAGAGAACATGATCTGGTTGAAACACAAATCAATTATCGGCTTCGATATATGAACAGTTTGCCTACTCAGTTCCCTCAGCGATCGGTGTCAGCAAGATGTATTGATACCCTAAAGGCAGATAAGGATACACACAGACAGTTGACATGTTCAGAACCTTACACCTCGAAAAACACCACTGAGGTAAAGCAATGTTAGTTTCTAGAGCCGGAGAAAGACTCATTTGGTTCTGTCAGTTATTATTGATACACTGTATGGAACGTAATGCAATACGAAATTTTATATGGAATACCGAGCAGAAAAAAAACACCAAAAAAATTATTAGAACACAAACGCGAACAATGACTCATCTTCCTTCTTGTAGGATTTCATGAAGTTTTTCATGGAAACATATCCTCGACATTAACAAACTATTCAAGTGCAGAGCATGGTTTGTCCTTGAGGGAAAAACAACTGTTTCGGTCTCTCTGCCGCCGTAATGCTTCAAAGAATGCAATTAAACTTTTTTCTAGTTTGAGTTGAGTTAGAGTATTTTGACTCTTTTTACGTGGTCACTTTATGTGAACATAATGACGAAACTCCTACTGGTTGACGCTTTCGAAATATCGATGAGGGAAAAAAATTAAATTATTACAGCCGAACAGCGCTGGGAGATTACTAATCCTTTTCATATCTGGTAGAAACTACAGTCTGTCATGACTGTATGCGGAGGTCGGTGCTATAGTATTATTTATCTGGCTTGAATGTATTGTATTTTATCCAAACCCTGAGTGATGAGAATCAATATGGGTAATCTTTTGTTAATGGCGCTTGTATCAAGGTAAGACCCGTCACGCCGTTCCGTTGAGAGTCCTAATGATTTCACATCCCCAAAGTGTTTGCTTTTCCTTGAGACTGTGGCTCAGAGTTCTCGCTAATCTCAATAGCCATTGTGTTGCTCCAACCATCGCCAGCAACCCCTTGGTCACTCAGAAGAAAGACCTCATGGATGCTTTGTTTGGAACCATCTTTGGAACGTTTTGTTGGTGAATCTATCATGCAAGAAAGGGACTTTTATTCTTATCGGATATTATAAACGGAGGATATTATCTGCCCGTGCGTGACTCTCGCGTTATGCACGGCCCCAAAGCCCTCCCTGCCTCTGTTTGCAAGTGCGTTTCATTCGCCAAAGAGAAAGAGCTAGCGATTCATCAATTGTCGGGGGCAAATCCTAACCTAATGCTGGATAATTAAGGCCGGGATGTAAGGTGTGGAGACGGTGTTCCTCTCTGTAGATCGATACTCTCTTGCCTTTTCTTCCTGAGGCGACACAATGGGGACTGAGTACCACGAAGCACCGGCACACGCAGAGAAGATCCTTCTCCTGCTATTAAATCTTCTTCTGAGTTGCCGTCCACATACATTCGTGATCCCCAAACACGACTTAAAGTCTTGCCTGACGTCACCGTTGGCGTTGAGCAGCCGCTCAGCCTTGCCCCCCGACCCCGTGATGGAGCCTGTGTTCCTGTAGCAAACTCAGACCTGTCAACCCTCAAACCACCTCAAAGACAATGTCCTTGTGAACCCCCTGATATAATTGCAGATCCGCAGAAGATGAGGCGAGCATATTGAGCTGGTTACCATGGAAACTGTTCCGAGCGTGCGGCTGTTTTGTCCATGCCGTCACACCTGGTAAGGTAGATGAAAGCCGTCCTCAAAGAAGAGTGGTAGGGGGACTGGGTTGGTACAAACTACGATCGAATCTGCACTCGTAGCTGTCTTTCTACATTAGGCATTTCGTTACCACCAAGCTTTACCAGTCGTTCGATCGAAGTTTTCGCCGTCAAAAATTAATTGAACAAACTTCAGTTTGGATTAGACACCTCAGTGTCTTTGATTGGGAAGACGTCGGAACTAAAAGTTCCTTTAATTTGGAATCCTCCCTCCATGGTTTGAACTGATCTGAAGATTCTTCACTGAAGTGAGGTTACGGAACCTTGATGCAAGACCAGTGTTGAACTTGTGTAGACACTTTGAAATTACGGACGGAGATTTGTTTATAATCCCCCCGAGGGCCCTAGTAATATAAGATGTCGATATTAAGACAAAGACTGGCGAACATCCGCAATTACCTGCTGCATACATCGTCAGGTGTTCTTAACAGTGATCATCACGCAGGTAACAAACCTACCTGAATTTTACCTGTCGACAAATCAGGAGACGCCATTCTCGATAACGGGATGACATCATAGTTTTATAATTTTGGACAATCAATGTTTCATGTTGAAAGGTGGTTGATTCGTCTTTGCCAGTGACCTATCGCCATGTTAGGTTTCTCGTCAGTGTTAGATGTTTATCGATTTTTAAAGGTTAATCGTATGCTCTCCAGCCACTAAGCTCTCTGTCGCACGTCGTGTCTCCCTATATTTAACCTTTATGAATCTTTCTTTACCATTTTGCAAATCATCGTCAGAAGAGTATCTCTTCACAATGGATCAATCAGAGGAGATGGCTTTCTTGAGGTAGTCTCATTTTACCTGAGCCAGGTGGTCGACAGGTGCGAACTGACGACATGAAATTTTCAAATTGTGTTTTGTATTTCAGATACAGAAGGCGATATAGTCATGACACCGGTAAACCTTGCCACACCCCCGGGCCCAGAGACAGGGAGTGCTGACGAGGATAGACCCACAGCCGTAGCCAAATCCCCTGTACCCTCGGAGAAGGAAAGCAGGGGTCACCCCGAAAGAAAACGAAGAGCAAGTAACGAGAGTTCAGATGTAAGTCCAATGAAACGTGTATGTGTTGATAGATTGTGAATGGTGGTTAATTTCATTGATCATGTTGTTAGTTGCATACGTTAATGATGTAATGAGCTGATGGATGGATCATCGATTTCAGATTGGACATAGCTCATGTACATATCTGACAATCGATCTACTTTTCATGTTTGTTGATTGATTGATTTTGGATCGTAATGTCCGCTTGCAAATTGACTAAGCGATGACTTGATAGCGCTGATAGTTTAGATTCCGGTAAAGATATGAGACTGTGCGCCCGTCATATCGCAAGCCGCGAGTCGAGGCACTTGGTAATGGAGCCGTGAGTAGCTGCAAGACAGCTGGTTCGTGAAATAAACAGGCCTGAAGTGTCAGTAATTACGGCACAACGTAACGGTTATCACTTCCATATGTTTCGGTTACTTAAAAAACATGTACCTAAATCTAAAGAGATTCATGTATGGCTCCGTTAGATTACATTTGGAGATGTTGAATCCGATAAGACCCATCGCATCAAAATACATCATTAGGGAAATCACTTCAGCATCTTACACCATAACAGGAATATGTATTTGGGATAAGGCAGTTATTTGCTCCACATTTGTAGAACGAAATATTCAAAAGGTTAGAGTGTCTTCATGATTTTAAATGGACTTTCCGTCGAACAAATCAATTTTCGCGAAAACATTTGTCTCTTGGTATAATTTCCCCATCTCCATAGTCTTATCACTGTCATTTAATTCCTCTACAATGTCACAGAATGGCGAATCTGAGTTGAAAATACATTGTGATGACACTATAATTATTGAGTTGTTTGAATATTAAAAACTATAGCTGATGTTATAGGCGTGCACTTTGACACAACGGAAAGTAGTTGATCAATGCTATCAATATGGTGGAGTTATTAATTCGGCTTGAAGCTAAGCACATGTGTGATTATGCTAATATTCACAACAGCTAATTAACCTTGCCATTAGTAAATTTGACATTTGACATAACTTGTGGCAGCATTTTCACGAATGTCTTTAGAATATCTCGGGACCGGCGTCCGTAACAACTTCTTCCAAAGAAACATATCATTTTGTTTACTCAAGCTTTTGGTCTTTTCAAATGATATTCATGTGAAACCATTTTGTACCCTTTCTACTAATGTAATTTATATTCGCGCATTCACAACAGCGAAAGGACCTAGTGTCCACACCTTCGTGTGTCATATGACGGAGCGTCAGCTTGACGCTGCAGTTCCTAACAGGCTCCTCCTGTATGCAACAGGATGGGGGTCAGTGTTGGTTAAAAACATACAAGGTTCTATTGGAGGGTCGCTTCCTTAACTTGGCTTTACTTAAATGCCCGGCGTCTTGTCACTTGATGCGCGGCACGCAATAGGTAAACAACTAGGATGGTATCTTGTAATAATGAAATCGGCTTATATATCAATATCGTTGTACAAGTCATGTAAGAACCGACAGACACGGGTTATGTTCCGTTCGCTGTCACTGAATGTATACACTTCTGTATTCCTTTACAAAAGCAAGTTACATAACCATTTTAACGTGGAACTAATTTATGAGATGGAATTTTACTGCCATTCGCAAGTGCCTCATCCATAACTAGCTGCTTAGCAACTCAATAACTACGACGAGCATCTTCGAAAACGAATAATAAACATTACATTCATGACAACTTGTGCGCTTTTGCAAGGGTCAAAGTTCATTGCTTCTGAAATGAAACGGAGCACTTTCAACGTCATGCCCGATAAATTACGTCATTATTCCACTCACTGGCAGCGACATGTTGGATCCTGCAAGACCCTTCGTTCGTATCAGGGCAACGGGTTACCGTTCCTAAGGAATATTCATTAAGACTTCACCCGTTGACGGAAAACCATAACTTTAGGAAAAAGTCAAAACCACTTGGAGAACTGCCACATCGCGTTAACTAAAATCTGGCTTTAATCTTTACCATTTTGCTGCTGGAGTTTTTTACTGGAAGCGATTTCGAACTGATTTTTGTTTTGTTGGTGCCAACGGGTAGAACCAAGTATCACTTAATTCGTCAAGGGAGAGCACTTTTCCTTGAAGTTGACACAGCGGGACTGGGGATACGAAAGTCAAAGCATCTAATGTGGAGCGGGCGAAGCTCAGCGCCAAGGGACAATCGGGCACGACACGGACAGTGAATAGAACAAAGTTGTAACCTTCTTATAAACCTAACGACGACATCGCAGCCCTAATTGGCTCTCTGAGGGATTGGCAATTGGCATTCATGTTGTTACTATGGAAATTAGAGGCTCCAAAAGCCATCGTATGGAACCGTTTGCAGGCAACCCCGTCTCATTTCCTTTCCCTAGTCCCTCACCTCTGTCTAATTGTATCCCCTGGCTTAGCAGCAGCGAGATCGTCTAGACGCCCTCCCTTCGCACCAGTAATTTAACTTGGAGAGGAGAGAAACGGTGTGACAGGATAAACTTTGTTAAAAGGCTTGAAACCAATCAGACATTTGGCTGGGCTTCTCCTATCGGCACGCCAGAGCTCCTGTGTTGACAGATACTCGGTGCCGCTATGGCTTCTCGGAGCCAACTGCCGTGGCAAAAGGTGAAGCCAGGCGCACACTTGGTGGAGCCACAGTTTCGGATCTGGTGATCGATCGGCCTTAAGATCCTTGAATGAACCGACAATTTCGCTCTCACCTCCAGCATAAAGTGGCTACACGTTTGCTGCCTTAACCTATACCGTTCTCGGAGAGTGGTCTCGCTTAACACATCATTAACTTCGTGCAGAAGCGCGGCTTGGAACCAAAGCTGGCTCCGCATGCCATCTAACACCTAGACTTTCATTACTCCTTCTTGGTCGCTAATAAATCCTTCCTTTCGCAAGGCCCTGATACCTCACAAGAAATACGACACTGACCAGCTTGTAGCGACTAAAACCTTGCACTAGCTGGCGTTTTATTGTCTTAGCTCGATCTTTGGCGTTCTGACGACAGAAATCCTCCAAAGAGTGATCCGACGCCTGTTGCTGGTGACATGAAAGCGTGTCTTGGCGTCTAATTGGCATCGAATGCTTGAAGAATACACCGATGAGACATAAAATCTTTGATACAAACCGAGGCTGAGCATTCCAAGAACAATAAATATCCTGTTTAACTGATAGCCCTATCCCAGTGTCGCCTTAAAGTGAAAGGGTGTCTCATGTTCCTGCATGGCCATAAACATAAATTCGATCACTGCAGAATTTCTGAGAATTCCTTTGCAAACTCATGTCAAAATAACAGCGTTTGTTGAAGAATGAAAACAGCTTCTATTTTGCACGAACCTCACGTTCATGTTACATCAGTGTATTTTATTTATATATTTTTTAGTTTCTGCTGTTCTTAAATCTCTCAGAAATGTTTAAACGTGTTGAGGCAAACGGACAGCAAGAGAGATAAAGTTGGGTTTTTTTAAAAGTTACTGTACTTCTTAATTTAAAATATTCTTTGAGGTAATGAAATGCTAGAAATTTTGACGTTTAGAACGATAACAAAAGGATCTTTTCATTAATCGTCGACTGAGTAATATGGCACGGATTAATGTGAACCATTCATAAACCACAAAATATTGAATCATTAGGACAAATAAATAATATAAATTGTGTGAAGAATTACGACAATATCAAATAAAACTGCTGTAGATTTTCAACAACCTTTAAACGTTTTGGTGTTTGTTTCCAGAGCGTTGTGACCAAGACTAGTGACGGTGCCAACACCGACGACCTCCACGTTGGAAAAGACGAAGAAGATGATAACGACGATGAAGACGAAGAGAAGGTTGCAGCTGCTCATAACTATGACCCCGAACGTCTCAAGGCTTTTAATGTAAGTCCACGTGTTACAACCCGACGATGAGTCGAGTTTCGGTGTCCCTGTTTGGACGACAATATTTCGATTGTAGACGCACAATCGATTCTCCTTTGACATAATTCTAAACGATCCACAAACAACTGATACGTCCGGAGATACGTACTTCAAACTAAACAGAACGGATTTTTGTACAGAAGTCGAAATACTTCTATTATTTAGCATTTCAATGATTAATAATCGATGCGCGTAATCTCAATACTGACCTGTATGCATGGAATATAGACATTGTATGTTTTAGCATACCTAAAACTGTAATCCGTTTATTTGAGCATACATTAACTATGTTTGGTCCAGTTATTATTGGCTTTGTCGAAAGTACTTTGATGTTTCACTTTTAGTTTTGGGCCTAAACCTTCTACCTTCCTGTAAAGGTAAACTTCTTTAAAATCAAATGTTACAATTATTGACACAATAGTTACGTTAGTGAATTGAAAAATACATAGTATTATATGTAGATTACATTCTTTTTTTATCCTTTTCGCTGTTAAACCGTGTCTTTACATGTTGATCATAAGAAGCCCAGGCGTTGTATAATAAGAACATACTGTAGAAAATCCTCTGATCTCATCCCTCTGACTATGACATATTCCATAACACCTTATGTATCCTCAGCTCTCTTGCATGTTTTACCACTGTTTAATGAAAAAAACATTCAAATATATACTCGTTTTAATCTCTCTCATGCCTTTTAGCTTCAAACATCATAGGTTTCGACGGATATAGGCTAATGTTTATATTTCTTCTATTGAATTGTATTCTCTCCCTTTTTTTGCCTGCATTGCCAATTACGGCCGTTACGAGATATCGATTGTTTAAACAACGCTGTTTCAACAACAGACTTTGCAGCGTTGTGTTTTTTCCTGAAGAAAGTCATTTGCATTTTCTATCACGGTGCGCTGTCCATGTATTCTTCTGTTCGAAAATCCTATTAGAAAAATCTTCCAAAAACCTTTCTATTGTAAACTATGCGGAGAATATGTTCTAAGAGCAGAGTCTTCAGTCCTTTACTTCAAAGCTAAAGAACTCCTGGAATAATTTATGTTACTCCACGGCGGCGTCCGCTCTGTAATGGTGTGTTTCTTCGCAACCACTCATTAAATCTGACGACGAAGGCGTACCTGTTTCATACGACCAGTAATTAGCTATAACGCACGTGTCACAATCCTAGTGATATATATCATCAGCAAATTCTGGTTATTGTCATGTCGGTGTTTTGATTTCAGATGTTCGTCCGCCTCTTCGTTGATGAGAACCTAGATAGATCTGTGCCCATCTCTAAGCAGCCGAAGGACAAGATCCAAGCTATCCTCGAGGCATGCGATAGACAGTTCCCAGAATTCCATGAGCGATCCCGGAAACGGATACGCACTTATCTTAAGTCCTGTCGTCGAATGCGTCGCTCCAAGGAACAGAACGGTTGGGAGCCGGTAAGCTATAGACACTCACAGTCTTCTCTTAAAGCCCTGCAACAAATAACGGTAATGTACATGCAAATTAATCATCGATTCAAAAAGTCTTTTTCTTAAGAGGAGTTGTTATTTTTTCACAGCAATTTGCGACTATACGTTTATGGTTCTGAACAACGTTATTCCGCACAGCCCTCTTCGCATTTGTAAAATTAGTACAAATGAGATCATTCTTTTAGGAATTAAATTAATGTACGTGAAAAATGGGTTCGTATGATGTTTTAATTGGTGTACTGTATGAAATAGTGTCCTAAGATTAGGAAAATTACAAACCTTTTTTCTGTCTCCGAACGTCAAGCCTTTTTGCAGTAACTGATGATAGGTCATTGGATAACGAGGACTGTAAATACGAACTGTGTGAAATGAGTGAAACGTCGTCATTATAACTTTCCATCCTTCATCTTCAACCTCTGACTGTTGACAGCAGCTCCGCCCAACCCCGCCCCATCTGACGTCAGCAGCCGCCGAGAGTCTCCTAGCAACCGCGTGTGAAAACGAGAGTCAGAACGCCAAGCGCATGCGTATGGGATTGGACCCTCTTCCCGTAAGTCGTGAAGCCTGGCAAAGCAAACGGATTAACTGTCATGCTTTATTTGAACTAGTGAGAGGCTGGCTAATGATAGCAGAGTAAATAAACACGTGTCAATTTGTTATGGAGGCTTTCAGGTTCATGCTAGTCAATAACTGCCTTTGAAAAAGCACAGGTAGCACATAGAAGACTCAGGCAGGGTTCAGACCAGGTGTAACACTGGTAATTGATGATGAGCTGATATTGGGACCATTACTGGATAGCTATTTACCTGATTCAGGTGTTGTTTACTGATCTCCTACTCTCCCCTCTGCATCAATCAGTCACGTGGATAATGACGAGATTACGCGAGACTTGTTTAAACACTGCAACTGATAGATAGCGGTTGGGCTCATCAGCCTGCCCGATCATTCATTACTTGCTGGTTCCAGTGTATTAGAATGAACAACGCCTCCAGACGTTTCCAGACAGAATGAATTATGTTATTTATGTTTACAGGGTCGTAAATCTTACCAAATATTATGATTGATGATGGAAGAAATTAGTTTTGAATATAAGCTGTCAACAATGAGATGCATGTTGGTCCATGGAGGAATGGTACAAACCAAAAACATTGATCTATATGTTAAGATGTAAAACTTCGAGGTTCCTGTTGAGGTCCAGTTAGGCGTTTCATTCTCATATGTGATACCGTTATTTGTAATTCCTAAATTCAGGACTACTTTTCGCTCACTGCAGGTTTAGTGAGTGCCGACTCTAGATCAAATGTGTCACGAGTAGTATATTCTGGTGATCATTGCTATCACCCATATTTTATAAATATTTCCTTTTCACGCTTTGAGAGTATGTAATTCAGTTGTACAAGTATCCGGTCAGATTTGCAAGCATATTCAGGAGCAGCAGTGCCTGACAGACAATGACAAAACGGTCAGATTGCACTTCCGGTCGAGTGAATTCGAACTGGTGTGTCAGTAATGTTTCTCGTGTACCTTTATGTCTGTGTTTAAAATCTGACGTATATCAAAGTATAAAGGTCTGACGTTGCCATCTCATTCCTGACGTCATGGCTGCCGCATGTTGACGTTTCAATTGCTGGTCTGTTTGCAGGCTTCCGCAATGCAACCCAGCGTTAATCCTTCCCCTCAATCCTCGCAGCCCCAGGTGACGTCACAGCCCAACACTCCGAACAACCAATCACAGGCGGCACAGATCGACCGTCACGTGCCTGCTAGCAATGACTTTCTACGTCACCAGCCACCGCCACCAGCCTTCAGAGCACCACCCGAGTTCCACCCACCTTTCTTCACTAATGGAAACGGCCTTTTCCGGCCAGGCTTCCCAGCTGGGTACCAACACCCCGCCCACCACCACCCGCCAGTCATTCAACACTCTATCCAGACAAACGCCGTACAGAATGGAGAGTTCGGTAAGTTCAAAGTAACATAAAGACAGTCTTCAAACAAAGACCTTTCCCAGTGTCATGCCGTGACGTGGTTGTGTCACGCACAACAGCCTAAAGCGACATTTATTCAATTAACAGGTGCTCCATCTGCTATATATACAACCAAGCTTTTGTGTGGAACTATTTCGTAAATTTCTCGAGGACAATAGACCTTTTTCGCCGAAAAATATTTTTTTGTTCATTCTTATACCCAGGAGCCCCTCCCCACCCAAAGCCACCCCACACGCACCACTTTTTGTTACACCCTATCACGCATAGTATGTGGTACGATGACTTAACGGTAAAACGTCGGCATAGGGATCATGTGTGTGTTGAGGATCACTAGTGGTCCATACGATTGCCAGTGCAAAGTTACGTCCCTTTGGCGAGGCAGTAACCTATACTTTTCCAACGTTGTATTTCTTGGTCTATTTGTCATACTTACACGTGGATTTCCTCAACGTTGCTAACGTCTTAGACCAACATTACACGGGATTTCCCTCAACACCAACCCAATAAATGTGTAATATTGTTCCAAGAGGGGTCATTCACAGCTCACTCGCCTAATCAAGTTCGCCAGTTTTTACCATGTATTTTGCTCTGTAGATAAGCTAAACTTCTACTAAAATGCATTATGTTTCGACAATTCACAGTACAATTTAGAAGAGTTTTACTTCTTATATCTGGTAACGATTTGTGACCGTTATCAAATATAAACAGTCTGGTTTCTTTCGCCGAACCAAACCCGGAAGTCCGTATGAGGGCATGCAACGGTATAACTTTGAATTGCACAATATTGAAAGGTTCCTCACCACCGAAGACCTCAATAGTCAAGACGATTCTTAATTTCAACTGCAGCCTTTTGGGTCTGATTGTGCTACCATGTTGATGCTGAGTGTTATGCTGTGTGTATAGGTGACCTGGGTTCAAACGCGTGGATATAGCCATGTTGACAGAGATTTGACAGGGACACATACAGACAATTTGATGAAATATAGTTAAACCTATGTTTGAGATATCTGTATTCTTTGGGGATTATTTTAGGGGTTATTTCTACCGTCGCCATATACATTGGGCATTCTTTGTGAAGAGCCTGTATCTTTTCAATGTATTTTCAGGGCCTACAGATTTGAGTATGAAGAAACAGAACTCAAAGAATCAACTGAGTACAACTGAGGTTGCCACAATCAAGCAGCTGATCGCAGGCTACAGAGAGTCCGCAGCGTTCCTCTATCGCTCAGCAGACGAATTGGAACAGCTACTTCTGCAACAAAACTGAGGACAACGGTGTGAGCAGACGAACTTTTACCGCGGTCAAACAATAGCAACTCTGAAGCAGGAACGGGAAAAGAGTTTTGCTTGCAAACTGCAGGTCGACAGAGTGGAGGATATAATATGTTGCAATGTTATCCCAATTATGGAGGAGTTGGACGTTTTTGCGGGAACTGCGTAAAGCAGACGACTTTTGGTCCATCTGTAGCTATGGACGAGAATGAACTTTCTGGCCTTGAATGTTAAACGGCTTTGGTTTTGACTTTCTACGTGACGTTGGCAAAACTACACTGCCTCTCAGTCCATGATATACGATGTCTTCGTGATGAAATGCAAATGACTGACATCTCAGGAACTGACATGCGCATTGATAGCTATGCGTGTAACTTGATCACCTGTGACTTTTAGTCAAGTAACCTTATCAAAAGACTTCATCAAAGTAACAGTGACTGATATGTAATGACGTGATTGACGCATTCTGCGTGTGCATTGACCTGGCCTGGGCAGAGGCTGTTGCAAACTCTACGTGTAAATGCATTCCAGAACATTTTTCGCAGCAGACCCTTGACCGGAACAGCCGCCATTTTTAAAATCTCTCAAAACGAGTTATTGCTTCGTCTCGACGAGATTTGGTTGTATCACGTGACACTTTGGATGAATCTCATCTTTTTGCCTTGTGTTTGGTTGTATGGATATATTTTTCTAGTCAACTATCTCTTCATACATATATTTCATATATTTTTCATATTGGTATCTTCTCGTACATTCTCGCCTAGTCACGCAGTGTGCAGGGACCATATATGTATCTTCAAAGAGGTATTTTCAATGGTTAACTCTCTTTGTTGTGCAAATCTTTATTCGAGGAACTTGTATCTGGGATAGACATATTAGAAGGTTTTGATATATACAACTTTTCACTGCACGACTTGCACGGGCTTTTAGTGAAATGGACAATATTACGTGCCATGGTGGTTGTATGTAGCCGATATGTTAAACGTTGTGTGTTTGATAATTGCATAGATATATATTGAAATGTACATACTGTTTTCATGGATCGTCTCAAAAACTTCACTTTGAATGTTGATAATCTCAAACTCGTAGATATCACAGTCTGATTTATGTAAGAGTGAGATCGAAACGTGAAACATTTTAGTGTAATGAACGTATGGCGTCATTATGAAGAACACTAGCTTTTGAGACGATCCCCTATTACTCAATGCACACAACTATGATTAAAGTGCAATTTTTCTCGTATCATTTCATGATATTGTCAAGAAATCCCATTCTTTCCACCTCTTACCTCAACTAAACTGTGTAGGCGCTTTAGTTTGTTTTATTAGTTTTCTGGACAGACATTCCAGAACACAGTTCTGTATTTATTTAACTTATTATTTATTAGTTAATTTATTGAAGTTACTTCAGCATATATGAATGCGTAATGACAAATATCTCAACGGGAAAAAAGCAAGCAGTACCCCGTTTCCTTATCTAAAGGTGCTAAGTCGTGTTTCTCCCTCCCGGTAGGTGTACCGGAAATGACATAATCTGATAATTGCCCAATGAAATAACGGTTGCTTGGCCGCCATTTACGGCATGGTTGTTGTACTCACAACCAGTTATTTGTCTATTTACTAATTTATTATAATGCGTATTGTTTGTACACTATTTATTGATGAAATCAAATCCGCCAGTCTTGATACTAACATCTGTGGTTTTATTTTGTGATCAAAAGCCTTTTTTGACATAATAGACAACACCGTGAATCTATTATTGAGATTTCGTTAGAGTTTAGGGTTTCACTAAATGTTTTTTTTAACATTGTATGAAAATTGCATTTTCTTGAAATATATGCTATGACCATTTTACGTGTTGTAATGTGAAGGATTTCCAATGGTGCAGCTACACATATTTTTGTACAGAAATTAAATTTGATAATTGAAAAATTAAAATACAGTTTACGTCTTTGTGTAATAGAAAAATTCAGTCGTTTCTTTCTTACCCAAAATTGACATATTTATTAATATATTACAGTGTTGACACGCGCAAGTGATGCGATTGTGAACTGAGTGTTGAATTCTTCAGTACGTATAGTCGTGGTACCATTTTGGTGAGATGTTTTTGGGTTTTTTTGTGTTTGATATTCACTTATTTCGTGAATTCCATTCCGTACGAAGTGCGTATTTTCATTACTCACAGGCACGTGCATTCCCACTTTTTATTTTGCTGAGTACAATTATGTCCTACTGAATACGAGATCATTCAGTATTAATATTTATTACACTCTATTTATTTGTTGTTTTAGTTTGTTTATTATGTTGATATTTCACCCTACTTTCGTGCAATATTGTCGGCCTCTCGTGTGAACAGAGCGCTAGCATGGTAATTATGTATACATAATGTCTGTAATTGTTATACTATTTATATATGAATAAAGTTAACATTTTACAGAGTGAAGGTTGCTTTGAACAATTATTTGACTCATGTGAGTTATGGCATAATAGGGGTGGGGTAGACAAGTGGTTAAAGCGTTCGCTCGTCACGCCGAAGACCCGGGTTCCATTCCTTACATGGGTACTATGTGTGGAGCTCATTTCTGGTGCCCCCGCCGTGATATTGCTGGAATATTGCTAAAAGCGGCTTAAAACTAAACTCACCCACTTACTAAGGCATAATGGGATCTTTAGGATTGGTCAGTTTTCAGATACACTTTAGATATTCCCGACTGACAGTCATTTTGAATGTTTTCTTGAAATGAAAATTGTTTTTAAGCAAATACCCCCTGTCCTGACTGGGGATAACATGACTGTTTTTTTATATTTTTTATCTCGACGAGAGAGGGAGATCCAGAGTTATTTGGCGTTTTGAATGATATTTCATTAATGTCATGACATGTAGATGTCATGTGAGACTAAAGCAGGTGACACGGGTCTCATACGTTTTCCACGAGTATGGTATGGATATGATCAAGGCGTATTAGTGATTATATAGCATGATCTGATCCTGGAGACCTAAGTGGGGCAACCCTTACTCCGAGAATGCCACTGGTGTTCCTCAATCACGACGTTTAGTTGAAAGCCTGAGTTACAGCGTGTTGCAATATATCTCGGTGAGTGAGTATGGTGTTAAGCCGCTTTAGCTATACGCCGGTGATATCACGGCGGGGGGCACCAGGAATGGGCTTCACACGCTGTACCCTTCTGGGGAATCGAACCTGGATCTCGCCATGTAGAGTGAGTGAGTGTAGTATTAAGCCGCTTTTAGCTACACGCCGGCGATATCACGGCGGGGGACACAAGGAATGGGCTGTACCCATCTGGGGAATCGAACCTGGGATTTCTGCATAAGGCTACACCACTGCCCCAATAATACCTAAAGTGTCCTATGGAGGTACAATATGGCATCTAATGAACACTTTGGACCCAGTACCCAGATTTCAAATCTAAAAATTAAATATAGTTGCAGTTTTACTTTAATTTCTTGGCATCAAAGACTCGTAGTAGCAGACAAGGAATGACTCGTCTAATCGATGAGTATTCGACACTTCATCGACCGCATCTGAATAATGTGGCCTGCCTCACGTAGCCTTGACCGCAACTGATTTTGAATGAACACAGGGCATATTAAGATGAAACAAAGAGTGAGTGAATATTTGTTTTAAATACTAAAAATAGATGGTACAGTTTTGCTTTCGTTTGCGATAGTCCACCACTCGAGATCAGTGTGTTGACATCTGTGTTGGGATTTAACACATTGTACCCATGTTGGGAATTGAACTCGGGTCTCGGGCCAACCCCCTCGCCCCTATATATACTGTAGCGTTATTCAGACAACCGATTGGTAGTGAACACATCAAAAGACATCGATATCAGCGGTCAGGGCAAGCCGTTCCTAAGTCGAGTTTTACGGTTTTGTCTGGGTCGGAATATCCACAAACGTTTTAGTTTATCTACATACAATAAATGAATATCATATCATTTCAAGCGCCACATGTTACCTACGTGACATTGAAAGGTCAATGAGTCATTCTGGGTTGTATAGGTACAATATGGCTGAACACCTGAACGAACATGGTACGGCAGTGTGTGTGTGTGTGTAAAGGGAGACAACTCCGTCCGACATCACATAGCGCATCTGTGGTATGGGTCAAGTCGTACTGGCACGTCCGAGAATGTTTACCTGCATTGATCTATCAGAGTGTATGGTCAATCTTTAATTTATGGTCTGAACATCATATATAGCTCAGTGCCATAGGATACTTCCAGATTTGATAATACACACACAAAAAAGACCTTTGAATGGCAGGTTCTTTCATGTTAAATCTTCAAACTGAACATCTGTTTTTTTAAATATATCTTTAGCTTAGAAACGTCCTTTTTCCAGTCTCTTAATTGTTTTTACCCCGTAGGGTAATGCTTGTGGTAAAATATCATCATCTAAATTTCCTACGCTGTTCAGTAAATCGATATTTCACTATCTTTTCCAGACTGCAATTTATTTAGCCCTAACCGCCAGTCTCTCTTAAACATTTCACAAGGTTCCGACCTGTGCATGCGTCATCAAATATAGATGTCAGAATTTCTGCAAAGTGTAATTTCGCAACGCTCTCTTAGTACTAAGACTGCTGATCGTAGTACTGCATATGCTGTTACTACTACTACTACTACTACTACTGCTACTGCTACTACTACTACTACTACTACTACTACTACTACTACTACTACTACTACTACCACTACTACTACTGTTACTGCTGCTACCCGTGAAGATCCGGGTCAGAATTGATCTTCAGTAACCCATGCTTGTCTTAAGAGGCAACTAACGGGATCAGGTGGTCAGGTCCGCTGACTTGGCTGACACATGTGATCGTATCCCAATTGCGTAGATCGATGCTCATGCTGATGATCACTCTATTGTCTGGTCCAGATTCGACTATTTACAGACCGCCGCCATATAGCTGAAATATTGCTGAGTGCGGCGTTAAACCACAAACCAACCAACTACTACTGTTACAACTACTACTACTACGTAACATATACTCATGCCAATAATGGTTGTCACCCCCTTCAATTTTTTTACTTGGAGAGGGGGTGTGGGGGGGGTGTGAGGTGTGGGGGGGTTGGGGTGGGAGGGGGTGACAACCATTATTGGCATGAGTATATGTTCTATTTGGCATTGTGTATTTCATACTACTACTACTACTACTACTACTACTTTACTACTGCTGCTGCTGCTGCTACTACTACTACTACTACTACACACTAAGTGTGTGTGTGCGCGTGCGTGAGTGCATGCATGTTTGTGTGTGTTTAACTTACAAACTGTCGTGATGTCGCCTTGAATAAATATGTATTGAAAAATTAATTAAAACATTGCCGTGCTTCGGTAGATTCTGACACATTTTGAGTGACACATTAAATTCTCTACACGTACCAGTGTCCCATAATTCAGGGCTCTGTAAAAGCCATTCTTGTTTAGGCCCAAGAGTATATGTGCGTGAATTAGCGTGCCTACACAACATAAATAATTCAGTCATAGAATTGACGGTTGGCACTCCCCGTCCCCTCCCAGCATCAGCGATGAGACTGGAGTGAGTGAGTGAGTTTAGTTTTACTCCGCTTTTTAGCAATATTCCAGCAAAATCACGGCGGGTACACCAGAAATAGGCTTCACAGTGGAAATAACAAATGGAACCACAACATGTTTCGACGTGAAAAAAATTCAGTTCCAAGGATACTCTATCTGTCTGCCAATGACTAAACCCACGCCGTAGTTTGTGACGGAGGAGTCGTTATTTAAGCGAAATATCACCAGTAATTACAAGGAAAAAATAACCTCTTGCGACAAAGCAAATACTCGTTTCCCTGCGCAATTATGCTGTCTTTATACCCTGTTCCCGCAAACATAGATGCAATATTACAGTTTATGACATTTAAGTATCGATTTGTTGCTTGCAAGATATTTATCTTTACACGTGATAGCTACTTCAAGCTTGAGAAAAAAGAAGACCGACTTTACGAGACTCCGAATAAATGTAATTGTAAATGGTAATACGAGGTGCAGTCTTCAGGAATGGCAAGGGATGGCTTTCATTAATCTCTACCGCATCCCTTACACCGAGGAGTTAGCGTTCTATAGATATCAACTTTCAGAGACGATACCCATTTGACCATGTACTCCGAACAAAGGGAGATAACTGGCTGTTTGAGGTGATGGGTGCTGTGCATAGGAAAAGATCGATATGGCTTACCTTTAAGAAATGTATAATTTCATGAAAACGTGCAAACCTAAAGTGTTTTTTCCTGAAAAAAATATATATGATATATTTCATATGAAATGGACAAATATTCTTCCTAAAACAATAAGTTCGTTTAAATTTATATCTTTGATAGCCCTTTAGCATCAGCATCACTTCAGCTACCTATCAATTTAATTCATAATTCTGAGGAGTTAACATATTCACATTTCTTGGTTCATCAATACAGGCCGACCAGTAACTGTCAACAAACCTCGTATTCTGACCAGGGAAATATTTTATTTGCGGTTAAGGGGAGGTAATGCCATGTATACTATATACTACTACTACTACTACTACTACTACTACTACTACTACTACTGACGCCATATAGCTGGAATATTGCTGAGTACCGCGTAAAACTAAACTCACTCATTCACTACTACTACTACTACTACTATTACTACTACTACTAGACCCATGAAGATCCGGGTTAAAATTGATCTTCAGTAACCAATGCTCGTCGTACACGTCATTGCATCCCAATAATGCGTAGATCGATGCTCATGCTGTTGATCACTGGATTTCCGGGTTAAAATTGATCTTCAGTAACCAATGCTCGTTGTACACATGTCATCGCATCCCAATAATGCGTAGATCGATGCTCATGCTGTTGATCACTGGACTGTCTGGTCCAGGCTCGATTATTTACAGACCGCCGCCATACAGCTTGAATATTGCTGAGTGCGGCATAAAAACTGAACTCGCTCACTCAGTACTACTACCGCTGCTTCTATCTGAAAGCTGAAGCTTTAATGGCTGTGATACACACTTAGAGGAGAGAGCATTGTCCATTTCAAATGTTTGATTAATATCTCGGCATAACAGTATAATGTTAGCGTAACTCAACAATGATCCAGGTCAAGGTTGGCAGTCACGCTGACGTTAAAATACTGATCACAGAATTGATGCTGACAAACTCAGTGCGGTCAATGGTCATGAGAGATCCTGGTGTAAGGTGTAAAATCTTCACTCACACACTTCGTCTCATTCGTTGAGGACTGAATGTTGCGTATTAACCGTTCTATATTGTAGGCAGATGTATGCAATCATACATAAATCTATTCTATAAATTTCTTGACACCTTTCGCAAGCCGTTACAGGATGCATGTGAATAAAATATGAAGGTCTTGAAAATGGCCGTGATCACGAATTAATTAAAGCATTCTTGGAAACTCCCTGATAAAAACTGCTAACAATTATTGATGTATCGTCTTCTAACATAAGGATCTTTAAACTGTGATTTGTGATGTGGACTTAACAAATATATAGAAAATATCAGAAGTCGTATCTGAAAGAAATGAAAAAAATTAACATGTGCACGTTCTGAATAGATTAAATAAGTTACATTGGCGGATCCTTTTGAAAATGACTTGAAGATTTTTTTTTTTTGCGTTGGCGGAGCCAATGGGGGGTTCACCACACACACACACACACACACACACACACACACACACACACACACACACACACACACACACACACACACACACACACACACACACACACACACACACACACACACACACACACACACACACACTTCAAACTTCCTGGATCCGCACATGAGTTGAACTCATTTTACGCCTCTACAGTCAAATCTTTTCGAAACAGTTACTCTGTGATAAAGAGAATATTTTAGCTGAAACGTTCAGGTTACCCGAGAACCATTTTGCGTGCTCCCAACATCTACAGAACAGAAAGAAACATCGACCAGAGGTGATGTACATGGCATACAGTTACCATGAAGGCTTAGCGTCAATGAAAAACATCCAGGGCGTTGGTTTGAGTAAACTGATTGTATTGCATTAAAAAAAGAAAAAACCCACGCGGTAACATGTCGATAATACTGTGTCGTGCAAATAAACACCCTACTTATCTTTCCTAAACGATACATCAAGGCAGAGGAAATGTTTAAATTCATCTTTTTAAGAGGTTTAAACGTTTGCTTCATGCGCCGACATCACTTGGAGTACATTTTTGTCGATTTATTACATTTACGATCATTAAATCAAACAAACATGTGCGGAAGTTGATAATCTTACGAAAACGGAGTGCTTTTGATTGACGGTGGGCTGCAAGACACTGTAGGTGTTTAGGAATGCAACAGCCGTGCCCTCTTGGGCGAGACGTTCTTTGTCAAGAAAATATATGTGTGTGAATACAATGTAAACATATTCAATGAATGTCTTCAAACACTATGCTGTGATTCACGGTAGGTAGAGGAATATTGAAACGAACGAACGTTATTCATGTTCCGGTACTTTATGTTATCACCAACAGCCCTTGATGAGAATAATCGTTAATCCGAGTTGGCCGGCCTACGGATTCAAGCAAACCGGTTCTCCGTGTTTCCAATAATAGCAAACTGGCGTGCTCTGTCGCGAGGAATTATCAACAAGCCGACGATCTCTCCACGGGTATAGGAGACATAATATGGTGAAGACATAACTAAATCATGGCGGGATCAGAGACGGGTGGGACAAGTGATTCTGGATCTGTGAGATCCCAGACGAGGGAATTCACATGGGCAGACGACACCATGGCGCTTGGTGTTTATAAGGACCACGAACGTCTGCCCAAAGTGGTTAAACTTGAGGAGAAGGGGGAAGGAAAGCTGTGTCCTGGGTTAAAAATCTACAGTAAACAGCCAGTTTTGTTCCATGCCAGAAGTTCAAAAACGGTTGCCAGTGCGCGGACTATTCACAAAGACGGAGAGACAGGGATGTACTTCGAGGTTGGCCAGACATTGCTGTTACCAGAGGACTATGAAGGTGAGTAGTCATGGATATTGAAACCGGTTTGGGTTTACATGAATGAAAAGGCCTGGCCGGACCGGAAACACGTGCGTGCACTCATTCCGGTTTGTTGTCAGATGGTTTTAAAGATTCATGTCATTATCACCGCCTGATTAAATCATGACACAGTCACGGAACATGCGGTAAACGTGAACTGACTAACGTACAACAGAGACGGGTCCAGATTAACAGATTCTGTGATAGTAGCAGTGTCAAAATGACTCTTACTTCGTGGACCCTGTTATTTATGATCTTATTCTGGATGGTATTTTTAATACACGTTGAATGGTTCAGCTTTCAAATCCTTGAGACTATGTGGTGATTCACGTAATAAAAAATGCTTATTTACGATTATCATAAGCTTAAATATTTATGAAAAACTGTCCTACCCGAGAAATACCAAAAATCCTTAATAACTATTATCATAAGCTAAAATATTCAGGAAAAACTCTGTTGTGCCCGAGGAATGATACATCCTTTTCTTCTATTGAGTTAAGTTTAATTCTACATCATTGGCTTGCCTCCGTCAGTAGTTCGAAGTGAGTGAGTGAGTTTAGTTTTACGCCGCACTCAGCAATATTCCAGCTATATGGCGGTGGTCTGTAAATAATGGAGTCTGGACCAGACAATCCAGTGATCAACAGCATGAGCATCGATCTACGCAATTGGGATACGATGACATGTGTCAACCAAGTCAGCGAGCCCGACCACCCGATCCCGTTAGTCGCCTCTTACGACAAGCATTGGTTACTGAAGGTTCATTATAACCGGACCTTCACGGGTGTCAGTAGTTTGAAGCAATATAAACTTATATATTGTCAGGCATAATTCAGGCATTTGTCACTACTTGTTTCATAATTAAATTGGTGTTAATTGGTTGTAGTTTAAAGCTGAATGTTATTTTCCAGGATGGTTTGAGATGGTCCCTTCAGATTTCGGACGTGCCACTTGTTTCCGGTCTATAGCGGAAGTTTCTGAGGTCATGCCCCGGATGTTTTTCACAAGGTCAAACATCAAAGCTATCCGGATCCAGAAGCAAGAAGATGAGAACCAGAAGATCTTTGAAAGGAAGATTCCAGCTGGGTCTGTTCTTAAAGTCGAAAGCATTTTCACAGCAACTTGGAAAACGAGTGCTGTGACTGGCGTGTTCAAGAAAAGCAAAACTGAATGGATTACAACGGAAGTCAAATACTTGAAATGTATAGACAGCGACCAACAGGAAATACTTGTCCCGCTCACCCAGAGGGGAAAGTTTAATGCACTGTACGAGAGGGGTAACCTAAACAAAAACTCCGTATATAGGATGAAGGATATCCTGTCGGATGTTCCCCTCCCAGTTAAAGCTAGACTGTTGTTCGGAAAGGCGCCAGTGGTTCCGTGCATATTTACAGGAATGATGGTCATTAAGGCTGCCGAAGCCACGGAGACAATTATCTCTAGTACTGTTTTGAATAAGAGGAACGTTTTGTTTGAAGTGCCACTTACTGCTCCTTGTGATGTGACGGAGTCGGCTGATGAGGAGGAGTACAAGGATTTGGACTCATACAGAGATGCTAAGAGGCTGTGCAGGAAGTATGCAACGTTGTACAGCATGATGATCAAGCTGAGTCCTGAGATGGACACGAACCAGCAGGTGATCCAGCACATTCCGACCTCTTCCACTGGAAACACCTTGTCACTGGACCTCATTGGGGACATCAGCTTGACCGATGACCCGGTCAACGTGATGATGGAGTCAGACACGGATTCTGTCCAGAGCGAAGACCAGAGCCCGGTCTTCACAGGGATGTTACTTGAACTGAAGGAGTTTAAGAATATGGAATCAACCACGACTGTGTGAGTGAGTGTGTGGGTGTGAGGTGGGGGAGTTTAAGAGAGGGCATATTCCAAATAGTCAAAGGGTTAATGGTGCGGCCCGGCTTCTGGTGAGTTCACAGTCATCTCTACCGCGGGTTCGATTTGAGCGTCAGAGGGGAGTTGTATGAGAGATGGATGTTGAAGAAACTCGGACAGCCATATCCCATCGGACTGGTCGTTTGAGTGAGTGAGTAATGTTTCCCGGTCATATCACGGAGGAGGTCATCAAAACTGGACTTCTTACAGTGTACACGTGGAGAATCGAACCCGCTGTAACTAGCGAAAGCTTGAACCACTCGGCTTCCCAATCACTCCTCATGTAGGATGAAGGAAAAGCCTATCCAGAAAAGTGTGTGAAATCATGGAATCGGATGTGACGTACATAGGAACACTGTCAATAGTCCAGCAAGAATGGAATTATGGAACACTTGACTGCTAGCCATATATTTATATGTGAACACTGCATTATTATGATGATAACCACAATGATATTAAGGTTTATGTGTGCTAAGGGTATAGTTCACCCTGCAAGGAAACTATTTTCCCTGTTCTAGTGATTTGTAATAGTCATTTCATATTTCTTAATGATCAGGGTTTTTTACAATTACAGAAAAGATGAGATGTTGGTCGATACCGTCTGATTCACAGGCACGTTAAAAGTAAATATTTCTTGTATATCGTAGTTATCTAAGTTTATCAGCCGGTATTGTTGTATACTGTTCAAATTAAGGACATTAATTAAATTATATATCCCCATATCACATTCTATTTTCAAAAAGTATAAAAATACTTACGGGAAAGGGAACTGAAATGTATGGACGGGTTTTCCAAATGACTTTTGTATCGGCGGTCTTATAATATTTTTAAATGGCAAACATATATTATCGTTTTTTATCTGACGTAAATGCATGCGTACTGTGGAAAACTGAGTCCAGTAACTTATTGTTAGAAGGCTTCTTTATGTAACATGTACTCAAAAATATTTTGTATTATTCAATATTATTTATTATTTGACGGGGCCTATATACGTCATGAATTAATGTTTGATGACCTGTTTTAAATCAATATCATTTTATAGATTTTAATTAAAGAAAACGTGTCAAAGTAAGCAAAATATCTTGCTCGAAACCAAGGTGTCCGAGTGAGTGAGTGAGTGAGTGAGTGAGAGAGTGAGTGATGGACTCTCTGATAGAGACTCACAAATAGAGTATGTAGTTAAACCACACGGAAACCAACAAACACGGGTTTTGTGTGAAACCCACATGTACGATTAAGCCGAATATCACAGCAGGGTTTCATAATGAATTCAAATCCTGGACAAGCGGGCCCTGGAACGTGCTTGGCAGGTAAAACTGCCATTAAGACATGCCTCCATTAAGACATGCCTCTTCATGCCCCAGGGAATAAGGAATGTATACACCTATGTTTTATATGCCAAGGTTATATTTAGCCATCACAATCTGTCAGTGACATAAACAAATCTTATATCCTAGTGCTATGATTTACAAGCATTCGTTTTGTTGCTTTTCGTGTTTCGCTGTTGACATGGTCCAACAAAGAAAGCGAAAGGGAGGTAACTGTGATCATATTGTTTTGTTGCATTATTTATTCTGAATTTTCGTTTATCTTCTGTATGAGTGAGTGAACATGGGCGGATCCATAAAGGGGTTGCCAACGCAAAAAGTCTTCAATGTGGTCTTAAGTCATTTTCAAGGGGAGGAGAGAGAGAGAGGTTGTTACCTCTGGTTCCGCCAATGGTGAATGATTTGTGTGCTTAGTGTCCGGTGCTACTGGGAATGTATTTATTTAGATGTAACCAGTATGTGTTTATATCATAAATAAACTATTAGAAAAGCAGTTTGGTTTGATTTTGATTATGAATAAATGAGCTGAATTGGGTTTAAGATCGCTTTTGAACAGCATTTTTATTGAAAACGCCCTGCCAATTTAATATTTGAAAGGAAGTGGGCTTGAAACAATTTGCAAAACAATGTAGAGTATTGAACCCTTGACTCTAGCGTAACTAGTGAACGCTTTAACCACTCGGCCACCCAACAACCCCTCTTGTCGGGGGAGGGTTTGAAATCACCACGCCTTGGACCAAATGGTTACCCCTGCCCAGAGAAGTCTGGTTAATTACTATATATATACTCCATATCTCCGGAGCTCGTATGTCGCTTAACCTCAACAAACACAATTAAACACAAACAAAATTAGAAACATATTCTGGACGATTCTGGACCAGAGTCCTTGCACTGTTAATATTAGGTATGGACCTCAACACATTTCGTTATAAGGAGTGCCTGTATTGTATATTTCATGTACAGTAAAAAAAAATCTAAGTTACCTCTGACTGTTACTTCCTGTGTCCTCGACATCCGGGTCCCACGCACAAAGATGAGGCGAGGTCAAGGTTGACGTTGGATCCTCCAAAATGACAACCAAGACAGGTATAATCCATAATTGCTATTTTGGACAAATTCTATGGACAGAACCATCCATTTTCAAAACCAGTTTCGGATGCAAGGCTCTTAAGTAATACAAGTTTTTTATTCTCCAATGTACGAACCACATTCTGAAATATGAATGCATTGATTGGGTTCACGCAATATATACACGTGAAATTGACGTGATTAATATTGACTCACGTGTACCCGTGCGCCGTCTCTGTCGATGTTTGTTTTCGAATACCTTCTTGTGCTCATTCATCATCTGCTGTGAGCCCTGATGAAGAGCGTCATCAATTGTCTGTATGTAATCAATATCGAATCAAACGCTATTTATTCCATGAACAAGGGCAGCTTAACGTGACGCATTTGGCGACTCAAATGTTTACAGCTCTCAGACATGAAGGATTATGTATGTTTGGTTTGGTTGATGTTTAACGCCGCACTCAGAAATATTCCAGCTATATGGTCCGTAAATAATCGAGTCTGGACCAGACAATCCAGTGATCAACATCATGAGCCGTTGATCTACGTAACTGGGAACCGATGACATGTGTCAACCAAGTCGGAGAGCCTGACCACGCGATCCCGTTAGTCGCCTCCTCTGACAAGCATGGGTTGCTGAAGACCAATTCTAACGGGGATCTTCACGGGTTGGTGTGTGATTGAGCCCAAGTGGCATTGTTTCAAACATATCTAACCCGTGAAGGATTTTGTCTTTGTTTTAGACGACTTTTTAAAGACAGTTCAAACTTACCATACCAACCCTATGTGTTCGGTATTTTGCTGCCCATTTTATATGTAACTATAACCGAGAAATACGGTTCAAACCGACGTAAAACCTATTTCACGCACGGTTTCACTCACTCCGATTATCCAGCTAAAACAGATTACATCTGAGGTCATTGGCCACAGCTTGTCGGTCATCTTTCGTCCCAAATTAAGTCTTCAGTTCTTATTCTTTCCACAGAACACAGTTTTTGTAAATACCATTTTATTTGAAACTTATTAGAAACACGTATTTCTGAGATCATGTTTTCATATTACCCTATCACTACAGTAGAAATATATATTCAACATCCATAAACTTTTAAATCATAACAACCCTATAACAAGATGAATGATATAACATATGTGCATGCGTGTATATTACCTATCTGTGCAGTACAGAAACATCTACTGATTGAAAGGCAGTCTCATGACACCTACAGCGTGTAAACAAAACTACATGTGGCCGTTTTAACTTGGTGTGTTCGTCATCATTTCACTGGTTTAACAAACATTACAGTCCGTTTGAGTCAGAAACGGACCGATGAATTGTAAATTTTATCATTGTACAAAATTGCCACATAAATATAAATAGCCAGGTGTGCGAGAAAGGATTGGAGACGGCACAGCACAGGCTAATGAATCAATAACTTGGTGGGCACTTGTGCACGTGCTTCTCTAACACCTGGCTGTCCCTTTCTCTGCACTCCTCCCTCGTAACAAATAGTGAACTGTGTCAAAATTTTAATGATAGTTTCTTACAGAACTTTTTTGGTGGAGTCCGGAAAATGTTTAAATATAAGAAAGCTGTTGGGTATTAGTAAATGATAAACATGTGTACTATTTATATTTATGTGGCAATTTTGTACAATGATAAAATTTGCAATTCATAGGTCCGTTTCTGACTCAAACCGACTGTAGTATTCAACTCTACTTTCGATTACCGCTGATAAGCTTAAGATTAAAATTAATATGAAATTTACATCAATACATTGAGTTCAGTTACTGATACACATGTAAGTCCTTGATTGTAGGTTGTACATTGACCTTAATCCAACCAATGAACAGTTCACTACTAGTGGTGTGGCGTTTGGTGTTTTTGAAACAAGGGCTAAGAACATTCATGCAACATACATGCAATATTAAATATTAATCATGATACAAATTCAGTTAAACACATCACCGTGTCAAATACCATAAAAACAAAGAATTTCATACAAAGGCAGTTCGTTCAGCCATATCAAATCAACAGGAACATATGTATATATTCCCTCAAATGAAAATAAAGAACGCCCAGTATCTTCATAGCTAATCTCTCATGTCTCATGTCAAGTTATAAAAGGCCAAAGTCGGGCGTTCACGTATTATGAGTTGCATAGTTAAAGGGATTGTCGAAATTTGAAAACAGTGTTGGAGTCATTAGCAGTGTTGTGTTAAAACATAAGGACATTCTCACATCTCAGAGACGTCTTAAAACACTAGAGAATAAAAACATACTGAAGGCCTTATAGATCTGTTTGATGGTATGCGTAATTTAGATTCATACAACTGTTTAGGGGGTTAAAGCTTTCACATATTAAAATTAGAGAGAGGGATATTCGATGTTTAATCAGACCGGTGTGAACAAATTCTGTCTATTTTCAAAACAAACACATGAACATTAAAAACGTCAAGGCAATAATGGATATCAAATTTCACCAAATCCAAAATGACAAAAATTAACTACAGAATATTCTAAGCAAAATAGGAGAAGTAAAAGAACATAAAATCACCAATTGTACCAAGAAAAATATTCTGAACCAATTACAAGACCGATATTGTTTTAAGTTTACAGGAAACAAAAAATTACAATTCAAAGAGTTTATGGCGGGTAGCCTTGTGGTTATTGTTTTGACGTGTTGTCACACACAGAAGACCCAGGTTCGATTCTCAAATCGGTAATAAATGTTGCTTGATGTCCCACCGCCTGATATGCAGGGAATTAATAGCTTCACCCACTCACACACTATCAACTCACAGAATACCGTCAGTACATATCAAACTTATTATGACATAAAATTTGTAAGGAGGCAATCGATACCTACTCCAGGGGAGTATCGGAGTTTCAGAATGAACCGGGTACGATGGTACATACTGGGACGATGCTACACTGACGTTCAAAAGAAAGTACACACCCGGTGCTTTGGGATTATTTGCATGCTGTGGTGTTTAAGTCACGATCAAAACACAATAACAATTCGGTTTAAGTCTGATATGTTGCAGTGCAGGGGCGTTCACCATCTTGAAGAATCAATGATATCCTTACTGACACACCTGTAATTATAATACCTGGGATTCGAATTGGAGTTCCTTGCGAGACTAAGGGGCCTCTCACACCCAATAATATCTCTTCTTCATACACATAAGACGCTCTCGTGTGAACCTGTCAAATATGATATTAATATGGCCCAAGGCATTTAATAGGTATGAGAGTGAGTGAGGGAATGAGTTGAGTTTTACGTCACCCTCAGCATTATTCGAGCTATATGGCGGCGGTCTGTAAATAATCGAGTCTGGACCAGACAATCCAGTGATCAACAGCATGAGCATCGATCTGCGCAATTGGGAACCGATGACATGTGTCAACCAAGTCAGCGAGCCTCACCACCCGATCCCGTTAGTCGCCTCTTTCGACAAGCATGGGTTACTGAAGGCCAATATTCTACCCCGGATCTTCACGGGTAAAAGGTGTGAGAACCCTGTGTAAATATAACTTTGCGACCGGGGTGGCTCGTTTTCTGTATGTGCCAACGCTGTCTTTCTTTTCTTTCTTTCCACGCTCAGCAATATTCGAACTATATGGAGCTATAATTGTCTGGACCAGACAATCCAGTGATCAACATCATGAGCATCGATCTACGCAACTGGGATACGATGACAGGTGTCAACCAAGTCATTGCGCCTGACCACCCGATTGTGTTAGTTGCCTACTACAAGCATGGGTTGCTAAAGACCAATTCTAACCCAGATCTTCAAGGGTTGTCAACAATGTCAACCCAGTAGGTTATTACTACAGCACATCAACTAACACCCCACACGGCCCACCCGTCAGCCCCTCCAAAACGAATGCGCTAGGTGATCACGTGCTTGATAACAAGTGTAGACAACATAAACAAGGGGTTAGCTTAATCCCCTTGCCCTAGTCGTAATCCTCCCTCAAGTCTCGTTTCTCGATCTCGTAATCTCGTCGAACCTTCAGATCTCGTCGGAACTTCTCGTATGCAGTTTTCATGAACGCCAAGCACTTCCTCTTGACGACGTCGCTGTGTTGATCCGCTGTTTGTAAAGCCAGTTTGAACTTGGGATGAGGTGTTATCGATAACTCTAAAATTTTTGGCTCCTCCGAATTCAAAGTACATGCAATCACAGTATGTTCTTTGGTCACGTGACTAATTCTTAGAACCCCCGTAAACTGACAGTCCTGGGACGGAGGGTCGCCGTAGACAAGTTGTACTTTCGTAACACTGTCTTTGTCCAACGTTTGCATTATGCTAGAGATTGTATGTGCAAAGGCGCCAGCATTCACACAATTTCGGGAACTATTTTTCTTCAGTTCGACGATATAGAATTGTCCGGTTGAGTCGTACGGCAGAAGTATTTCGACGTTACGGTCTTTGTTTGTGCAACGTAGGGACAGTATCAACTTCCGCTTCTCCGACTTCCTGCTATTGATGTATGTCACTTGATCCTCATGAATATTCATAACATAAAGTAGTCCCGGTGGGATCTCCTTCTTTTCATATACTATGGTATCCTTCCGTTGGTGTTGCGATACGTAGGCTTTGAGTTTTACGAGACACAGAAAAGACGCTGGCATAATTCTGGCGACCGTGGACAAGGAGGTCAAGGCCATGTCATCGCTGCCCTCGTTGTTCAGTACTTTGAAGAAACCTGCAAAATATGTGAAGAATCATGAATTTGAACATTGGGATGTTGTGGTTTTCATAAATTCGTTGGAATTCTGACATCGATACTTTTCAGCTTTAGAAACTTAAGATGATAAATTTTTCTGAAGCGTTACAGGCATATTGATTCGCAAAATGTGTGACCAACATTTTATCTGCTCTGCGTAATTCTGGAATAAATCCGAGAAAATAATCCAGACTTAAAAGAAATTCTAGTGATCGAAAAAAGTTTATGAAATGACAAAAGATCAGTTTAAAATCTTAGAAATCCCCAAACACCAATAGAACCCTCAGAAAATGAAACGGTAGATTTTTACCACGGACTTATCACCGTGGTAATTACACCACAGTGGGCTCACTGCGTTAACTATTGCTGAGTGCGGCAAAAAACTAAACTCACTCACTCACTGCGTTAACTCCATGTCAACGTATGCATATTCATGATAACTGATTCTGTGTTACTGGCGAGACCCTCATCCTGTACAGTAAAATCGAGGTCAACCTCACCGTTGAAATGCACGGCACGAAAGAGATTTTATGAACGTTTCTTTCCCATGATAGGGATCATTTAGTAAATAACCAGAGCTGCATTTGTTTGTGTTCTAAACTCTACGGTGCGCATATTTTCAAATATGAAACCCTTGCAAGAATCGTTTGTTTTGATCTCCGGATGTACTGGTGTCCCATTGTACCCCCAAAACTTGGATCCAACCAGTCGCGATATAGTTGCATTATGCATAGCTGCATTTTAAAAGACAACGCGCATGCGTAAAATTACACACATGGTTTGTGGACGCAACAGTGACTGAGTGTCCTAGCCTTTCTTCCGCTAAAAGAAAATTGATGCGAACATTTACAAGATCAGTTCAATAATGCTTGTTACTGTACGAAAATCACATTTCAACAAAAGCAAACAAAAACCAAAAACGCCTTATTATGTATATATCAGGTAACTTGCTGCATGGTTTAGTAGATTACATTAGTATACGCAGGGACGGATACAGCTTTTTGAGAAAGGGGGGGGTTAAACTCTTGAGAAAGGGGGGTGCACTCACGAGAGTTTCAATGGTCATTTAATAAACTTTCAGGACAAAAGGGGCACAACCACCCCTTCTGGATCCGCGTATGATACGCCCTGCTCAGCAATAATCCGCCTGTATGACAATGGTTTGTTAATTATTTGGCCCAGGCAATCCTCCTATATATATATATTCAGCCTTGATACAGCACTGGCTGTTGGTATAAATTCAATTAGTTGCCCGTGTTAACGCTATTAAACGAATAGTTATTCACCACGTGACAAACAGATACAGGCGAGTCTCACTGCGAGCTGGCAGACAGCTGCTATAGACAACCCCATACATCACTGTCATAACCCAGATGTCACATGGTGGGCGTGCAAAGGCTGTCCAATTCTACAGCTCTGACACCATGTATATTTCACCATGCACACATACATGTATATCGAAATTCAATCTGAACGTAAATGCACACCATGGGGCTTTGTCGTTCGAATTGTTTCATCGGTTGCAGTTAACGATTCTGTCCTGTTTTATGTTGACATGATGACGTCAATAGTCTTGGGTGGACTTTCAGCCTCGGTGAAACAAAATATTGTCACTAATTTCACCGCACAACGGAATTACACAGTGACCTTGATATGATTAATATAAATGGGATACATTTCAACCTACGGCACATTTATAAATGTTGAACAGGCTGTAAACAGACTCACTGAGACAGGGTGATAGTTTTGTGGGCTGTGCATGATAAGAGGACACCACTGAGGCGTTTATGGTTGATTAGAGGACACCACTAAGACGTTTGTGGTTGATTAGAGAACAGCACTGAGGCGTTTGTGGTTAATTAGAGGACACCACAAAGGCGTTTGTCGTTGATTAGAGGACACCACTAAGGCGTTTGTGAATTAGAGGACATCACTAAGGCGTTGATTAGAGGACACCACTAAGGCGTTTGTGGTTGATTAGAGAACACCACTAAGGCGTTTGTGGTTGATTAGAGGACACCACTAAGGCGTTTGTGGTTGATTAGAGACACCACTAAGGCGTTTGTGGTTGATTAGAGGACATCACTAAGGCGTTTGTGGTTGATTAGAGAACATCACTAAGGCGTTTGTGGAGGACACCACTTTTGTGGTTGATTAGAGAACAGCACTAAGGCGTTTGTGGTTGATTAGAGAACACCACTAAGGCGTTTGTGGTTGATTAGAGAACATCACACTAACATCACTAAGGCGTTTGTGGTTGATTAGAGACATCACTAAGGCGTTTGTGGTTGATTAGAGAACATCACTAAGGCGTTTGTGGTTGATTAGAGAACAGCACTAAGGCGTTTGTGGTTGATTAGAGAACAGCACTGAGGCGTTTGTGGTTGATTAGAGGACATCACTGAGGCGTTTGTGGTTGATTGAGAACATTAAGGCGTTTGTAGTTAGTTAAGGCGTTTGTGGTTGATTAGAGAACAGCACTGAGGCGTTTGTAGTTAATTAGAGGACAGCACTAAGGCGTTTGTGGTTGATTAATTAGAGGACATCACTAAGGCGTTTGTAGTTGATTAGAGAACAGCACTAAGGCGTTTGTGGTTGACTAGAGAACACCACTAAGGCGTTTGTGGTTGATTAGAGGACACCACTAAGGCGTTTGTGGTTGATTAGAGAACGCCACGGAGACGGTCGGGATTAATAACAGGACACCACGGAGGCGGTCGTGATTGGTTGTAGGACACCACTGAGGCGGTCGTGATTGGTTGTAGGACACCACCGAGGCGGTCGTGATTGGTTGTAGGACACCACCGAGGCGGTCGTGATTGACTGAATGACACCAGTACGGAGATCTTGATTGATTAAATGACAAACCAGTAAGGCGGAACATACCTGTTGTCAGTGGTTAAAAACACTAACATTTGTTGCTGGTTAAACTAGCATTCACAAATACGTCTATAGACTATGAAGTCCAACCCATATGGGACCAAGAACATACCTAGTTGAGACAATTTAAAAACGCCTGATCATTCTCGACTCGCGTAGGATACAACGTTAATGTATTCTCTAGGGTCTGTGATAAAAACGCAATTTTCTTGGATTTGCGTGCCTTAGATCTGTCCGCTGTGATATCACTGAGTGACCTGCTCAAATTGTGGCAGAGTAACTTTGATGTGAACCGTTACATTTCCGATACGTCGAAGTAAAAAGTACCTACCTAAATACTTCGAGTTATTCGAGGTTCAACACAACCACAAAATGATGACTAACTAAGGAATACGCAATGGACCAAGTTATGGTTTCGGGACAACCATGAGATCGACATAGCGGGGTTTGCCGGTATGTTACAGTTTTAAATGTAATTTATAGAGGATATTATATGAGTGCCCATATCATACTATGTTTACGACACGAGTGCCTAAATGTTGGCATTTCCCGAGCGAGAGCGAGGGATATACCGATATTGAGGCACGAGTGTCGTAAACATAGTATCATATGGGCACGAATATAATATTCTGTTTATTACCGAAGTCGTCAAATTGAGGAAAATAACCCAAATCTACTTTCAAACATCTTTCGCCTCACGTAGAACGCAACGTCACAGAAGAAACGTGACGTCATAGCATTGTTCATGACGTCACGTTACCATGACAAAGTGATATTTTGCCCTAGGGCATCGTATGAAAAATATGAACCCCGATATGTTCACCCTCGTAGGTAATAAATATCATTATTAAATATCATACTCGCCTGTGGAAGATACTGCAGTGTAATATTTTTACGGCAATATTACACTAGTGTAATACCGCTAGACGTGTGACGTCATAATGATTACAGTTATGACGTCACAATGTTTATACCTCTGTCACAATGGTATTAGACCTTGCTTGACTCGTAGAAAGCTGAGAGTCATCACACTTCGTAGGCAGTTTCTGTCAGTTTATGTTGGAGAGTAATACACAGAATACTAAACTCGCTTCCGTGAAATACCATTTTTTATCAAACTCGTGAAAGATTTAGCATCAAACTCGCTTTCCCTCGTTTGATACCAAATCATTAACTCGTTTAATAAAAATGGTATTACACGGAAGGTCGTTTATATAGTATCCTCTATGTATGGGTTCGCGAGGTGCATCACGGAGGGTACACTGACAATTGTAAAGTATTTACACTGCGGGCGTAGCACACATCTCAAACTGATTGATGACACCAGACGAGTCACCGTGATAGATGATCTGTCGACTGTCGAAATCACTTACTGATACTGACACCAAATACCTGTGGTAATTGATTCTCCCAAATTATCTCCATCTCACAGAGTTTCGTGGTCAGCGATTTGTCAGCTGATATTATTGGTCAGCAATATGCCGTACCTTAGCGAGACTGGACAATGATGCCACCCATCTTGTACTTTCGTCTCTACATCAGTAGCAATTACAAAATGGTTATATTCACAATAACTATAGTGAATATATATTTGTGCAATGTTTTTCACAGTAGCCGATATAGTGCTTTCTTCAAAATAGTTACATACCCTGGTTTGACTGGCCTCATTAATTGAATGACCGTGAGTTACTGTTAGAATGAGTGAGTTTAGTTTTACGCCAAACTCAGCAGTATCCCAGCTACATGACGGCGGTCGGTAAATAATCAGACGAACCAGTGATCAATAGCATGGGCATCGATCTACGCAATTGGGATATGATGACATGTGTCAACCAAGGCAGTGAGCCTGACCACCCGATCCCGTCAGTTGCATCTTACGATAAGCATTGGTTACTGAAGACCAATTCTAGACTTCATCTTCACGGGTGTGTCTGCATGTATTTCTGTGTGTAATCAACATCGAAGCTATTTATTCCTTGGACTCAAATGTTTACAGCTCTAAGACATGAAGGATTATATTTGTTTGGTTTGGATGATGTTTTACGCCGCACTCAGCAATATTCCAACTATATGGCGGCGGTCTGTAAATAATCGAGTCTGGACCAGGCAATCCAGTGAGCAAAGTCATGATCTACGTAATTCGGAACCGATGACATGTGTAAACCAATTCTAACCCGGATCTTCACGGGTGTTACTGTTAGAATACTGCTGACAACATTCACTGACAAAAACACACATACGCTAGCTTCCGACAATGAAGTGAACTCGCTATACAGTTCAGACATCATTTTCGCATTACTGTATCTAATCCGCCTCGCTCAATGCGGGAGACACAATTGAGTGTTGAAAGCCTAACGCTTTAAACATGTGATGCTATATTGGGTGATGTGAGAATTGATAAAAGCACCACAGGGGAGGATGTCTTGGACAGGTGTTGGCAGGCACGGGGCGCCACACCAGGTGTGAGGTCACCACCAGACGGTATATTTGAATGTGCGGCAGGAGAGAGGGATCTCTGTATCAAGGTGTGAACGGTCTAAGGGGTGGGGAGTGATGGAGAGTATGCATGGATGGTCACAATGATGTTTCGCACAAGGAGGTCATGCATTCACTGCCAGTGGTCAGCTTAAAATCACCTGTGGACATGACCAGCACAAAGACCTCAGCTATTAACTCCACTTGTTAAGGACGCTCTAACAAATTATAGTTCAGCTATTGATGCTAAACACTGACCCGGCTCGCCAGACAGAAGGGTATTCGAGACAATATTGTCAAATATTGTCCAAATTGTTCAGCGGGACTGTGAAGAGAAAGTATTTGTCACCATGATCATCGTCTCACAGTCGTGTGAATTTGTGAGTCTTCTACGCACAATAACATTCACCTGATGTCAATGTGGGGCAAAGGTCGTTCCAGAAGGTTATCTCTGTTTATTGTCCATCATGCACTATAGTGAACACTGGAGTTCTAGTTTCAGACAGAGTAATAAAAAAGACCCCGGGATTTTATGGTATCGTATTTAATAATGATAACTAATACCCTCCCCGACACGTGACTTGAGGCTCATAGGCCTGGGTAACTCGCTGACCTTATCTGAACTCTGCTAATCTGCGGATCAAAACAAGCATGTCAAAAGGTGTTACCTGAGGCATACCTCATTCCGACTGGCGTGCTCCACCTATGTCAATCCCGACTAATAAGTATACAAGTATACTGACGGACAAAAGAAAGTATACACGTGAAACATGAAAGTGGCCAACTACTTACAAACCTAACCAAATCGTTACTTACACGAACGCAGACAACGAAAAACTCGAACGTTCAGGTACAAAACGCAGCTATGACATCAAATCCATCACCATCGATATCCGCCATCAAACAATATATTTTGCCCAGAAGTTTATTTTGTAGTTAGCCTTAGCAGCTGTCATGGTAGTAATGAAACCTTAGTTTGATAAAACCAAACCAAAATCAAATTAAGAGGGACGTGGCAATGGAATGTTTCTATTCGATTCGAGTTTTTTATTCTAAACGATTCGGTATTACTTGTCAGGGAAATATGATTCTTTTCATATTCAATAATCACTTATATATTAATATGCAATGTCCCCTCGAAGGGATTAAAATGTGCATCCTTGACTGGTGGGTGCAGCCAGTAGAGCAGATTATGCATGTTTGTATATTTCGCCAACACCCGGTGTTATCAAGGATGTTCAGTGTTCAAGTCACATAATTTTCATTGTTTTAGATTTTTTAAGGGAATCTGTTTTGGCAGAAATACTGATAAATCTCTTTCATATTTCAAAAGTGTATCCGTTCGTTCGATTTCTGTTTCTTCAAAACTGGTAAAGGTGGGTCAGCAGAGTATTGATGAACACCGAACACAATGTGTAGGTGTGGATCGATCGATGGATAAAAAGGAGTTGCTACATGATAAATACTTCACATAACCGATGGACAGATCATACAGATAGATGGATGACTACCAAGATGATACAGGTACATATGTACTGATAAGTAGTTTCAGTAGATGGATGGATAGACGGACAAATATACATGTTACATACATATGTCATTGACGGATAGTGGCGGTGGGATAGCCTAGTGGTTAAAGCGTTCGCTCGTCACACCGAAGATCCGGGTTCGATTCCCCACATGCGCACAATATGTGAAGCCCATTTCTGGTGTACCCCGCCATGATATTGCTGGAATATTGCTAAAAGCGGCGTAAAGCCCAATTCACTCACTCATTGACGGATCATTGGATAGACAGAAACATGAGAGAATGTGATATTCAATAACAAACTCAAAACCCAATTTGCAGCTGATGACCCCGACACAGCTATAGGGTCTATTGTACGTTGCGACTCCGTGAAACAGATTATACCCACGTTAATGGGCCATGATTACAGGATACGATCCCCCATTGTGAGGGGGATAATGGGGTCTTCTTACCCCCTCAGTTCCCCCAGAGAAGCTGGGTCAGCCCGAATTCCTCCCCTGTCCATGTCCGCTCATATTACGTATTTTGTCAGGTGTAAACACAATACCTGTCATAAGCCATTGTCACGGTGCCATACGATCCTCGCAACACCTCTGTTATCGGATCGGGTTTTTTCCTATCTGGTTTCCCATTTGTCTTGTTCGTGAGCATGACTCGGTATCACGGGCACACGGTAGTGTTACATTGTTTACATTCATAACTACGGATATTTGACGGAGGAAACGAGGTCGGGAGACGTCACTTTACAGACATGAATATCGATTACGCGAAATCAGTGCACTGCAATTAACGGGATCGTCTTCCATTGCAATAACGTGCCACGTCATATTAGTATTTCATTTGAGCATTCCTTGCGACTAGGTTCAATATACATCCTAATCAATCATTTAACTCGTCAGGTTGTTGTTTCCCAATATTTGATATAAGAGTTTTATCGCTGTGTTATAATCGATCTGATCACACAGGAATCGATTATGTATGGGTGTGGTATGTAGGTAAACAGTATCCCTGAGTCATGGCAAACACACACAGGTACTTATGTCGCACTTAGTGAATCAATGAGGCTTGCAATTTGCAAAACTGATGAGAATATAGTTGCCACTATGTACATATGATAACAATTAAACATAAATGTAACCAAAACTCACATGGATACTTACATGGAACTAGGCGTTAACGTATCTCCCCCCAATCAACCAACACCCCCCCCCTCATCCACTATAACATGTGTGACTCAGCCCCTTCAGACCACGCGGGCACTTAACAAATAACATGTCATAACTCTTGTATCTATTGTTAAGTTGTGTGCATCTTAACACTTATAAAATAACATCTGCCTTGTTTGACGACGTGCAGTTATAGGCCACACCATTCCAATGCTATTCAGGGCATCCCAAAACATCTTTTCCGGGCTCCTGCTGTCATCCACGAATACGCCATACCATCCACCTTACACATACCCCTACCCCTTAAATCCACGCCCTGCAGATACTGCTCACCCTTTCATCAATTTCCTTTGCAAAATATTTCGGCAAAAAACCTTTCTGATCTATTGCATTGATATGATGTTTCCAAGCACATCCCGTTTAGCCAGCCCTTTAAGGAAAACCTACCTGGGTAATGTTCCGGAATCACAACGTAGGGTCCCACCTCCCTCTCCCTTCCTCTGGGTCCCGGGTCACGACGCACGTTCCGCGAAAACACTCTCGTCAGCTTCACTTCCTTATACAGGAGCAGCGGCTGTTGGAAGTTGAATCCTTCACTTCCGTCACCATTACTCTGTACCACATCTTCCTCGCATATCTTCACAATCTGGGGTAGCCGGTTGTCCGCCAGGATCTCCCGTAGCCTCTGGTTGTGGTCCCCCCACACGCAGGACAAGCCAGACCCGGGGGTAGTAGGGGACATGTAACTGTTCCCAAACGACGATAGCTCTGCTGCGTCCCCCGTGTGATGCATATTCCCACACTAGTCACCTCACGCCGGGTTTACTATTTATCATTAGCAGTCACCCAGCCGGATTACCATGGTCGTCTCAAGATAGTTTTAACAGTAACTATCCGTTCTTATCAGTGAATCCGGTCCCTGAAGCTACTCTGACGACTTAACCGCCAAGGAACTACTCGACCGAGACGCTGCTATTTTCCCCTTCATTATAAGAAGTGCGAGTGCCGGGTACATGTACCTCCGCAGTTATGCATAACAAGACCGGGAGAAGACGACCGCCTTGTCTCACCCCAACACCCGGATTGCGACAGCCAGTAAATCACACTGTGCTGTCTCGCTCGGCAGCTCTGCTATTTGTTATCAAGTCAACCTTCCGAACCTTCAATAACTGCAGACGAAACGCGGCTATGCAAATTAAAGGTAGTCAGAACGCGTCATGTTTTTATCCTTTCCGCCCTACGCGTCTATTATATAGCTCACAGAACACACGAGGCACTTTCCCTTGCTTAGATCTGGACTGCCTTTATGCCATGGCTCTATATTTACTCTTATCGTCAATGCAATCGTGTTTAAATAGCTTCTTTAGGTCTCTCTGTTGTTGATTTCTCTCACCGGTCCCTAACAGAACCACCTACAGACACGCATGGGAATTTCGTAGATGCAGGTGCGCTATGCTTTGTCAAAGCACTCTTGTCTATGTTAATAATATCTGTCGTTGAGATCCCTTCACTGTCATAGGATTGAAAGGATCCCATTCAGGCTCGGGATCAATCACGTACTTGCATGTACTTTTGACGTAGCTGGCTACTCTACATCATGTGAGGCAATATGCGTTTATTTTTTATTTATTTTTAGATTTCGTGCTCAATATATCTTTCTTCTAAACCCCAAATTAGCATGGTTATATAAGTTGCGGAATTTCATTATTAGTTATTCCCTCTAAATGTAGATTAGCAGTTGTCATTTTTCAGCATGACAGATCCCACAAGCCCCAAATGATTTTCGTACGACCTTAAGTCGAATGTTAGAGTAAGGGAGTTTCATAGCGCTAAGAAGTCATTGTGCATGGAGGCCCTGTACTCTGCTCTGGAGGTTACCCAAAATCAAATGTTTTCCCATAGATTTCCTTAGTAACGTTATACTTTTGTTAAAAAATTATCCAGACTGTCAACAGTCATTCCATGTACACATGGCTACAGTCTGGCCTTTGAACTGCAATAAAAACACAAATTCCGGCTAACTATCCGAGCCAGTTTTCCCTGCACAGGAAGCTGAACATATCAACCCCCATTTCTGCACCAAATGTCACCTACTTGAAAATATCAGCTCAAAATACTTAAAATTGTGGTCAGTTTTAATTGCTTTTAAGAAAACATAAAAATCTTACACTATTTCTATTCATCCAATCACAGCTGTCATATGTATCTATCTCTTCAGATGTGTGCATACGCTACTCGCTCAGGGAGCACTTGATTCTGAGTTAGTGTAGTGGAACTTGAACACTTGTCCAAACTGTGGATGTTTCAATATGTGTTTGCGATTGTTGACATCGCCTCGACTTTATAGGTTTCTCTTTTATTCATTTTGTATAAAAAGCATTAAAGGCCCCAAGACAAAAAAAGACAAACAACAAAACGATCGACTATCTTTAGTGAACTAAATAGTGAATTGTCTAATAGCATGTTATTAGAATCCTTTTAAGACTAAAAAAGGACAAATAATTCTGGTCTATAGGATATGCAGGATTCTGTAGACGAGGAACTGCTATGCAACTCATTATGACAATTGCAAAGACTTGTTCATATGAATGAGAGTTGATTTCCACAATTGTTTTCCTGATCTCACAAAGACACAAACCCGTGAAGGTCCGGGTTAGAATATTGGCCTTCAGTAACCCATGCTTGTCGTAAGAGGCGACTAACGGGTTCGGGTGGTCAGGCTCACTGACTTGGTTGACACATGTCATCGGTTCCCAAATGCGCAGATCGATGCTCATGCTGTTAATCACTGGATTGTCTGGTCCAGACTCGATTATTTACAGACCGCCGCCATATAGCTGGAATATTGCTGAGTGTGGCGTAAAACTAAACTCACTCACTCTCTCAGAAAGCTAAAGGGTCCTTCACACTTATTTCGAATTGACAGGAATCAAGTAGAATCAGCCAGAAAAAATATTTCAAAACTTCGAACCGCATTCGAGAGAGAATGTCAATATAAACAATTTTACTTAGAACGCACTTCAAACCCGCCTCGAATTATTCTTACTCATTCAAAATGTACTAGATCACGAATGCGGCTCGAATGAATCGGAATAAAGTAGGAATAATTAGAATACTTAAAATGAATTTCGACTGCCGTACGAGTCCGATTCGATTGCTACGTGAATAGCACTCGAAATTCAGGTGGAACGTACCTCGAATGCTGTACGAATCTACATAGAATGCATTCAGAACCCCCTTGGAATGACCCCCGGATATGGATCGAATGTTAAAGAATTAAAACAGAATGCAGCTCGAATATTTCAGAATGTAACACGAATGTCCGAAATGCATCAAGGATGCTGCCGGAATGTTTCACGATGGGGTATAAAAACCTGTTGAATCTGGACTATAAATCATACCCCCTTCACACTTGAGGCGGAATGAGCCGGAATGCCGTCGGAATGAAAATTCCTGGAGATTCCTGGAAATTCGAACTGCATTCTAAAACTTCTTACTCCATGCCGAATGCACTCCAACTATTCGTGTCAATTCTTGTAACATGCCCGAATGTTTTGAACATGTTCAAAACTTTCGAGATACATTCGAGGTGGAAAAATATCGAACAACATTTGAAGTGCATTCTAACTGCATTCTAAGTATTCTTACTGCATTCTAACTGCATTCTAAGTATTCTGAAAGTATTCGAGGGAGAATCGAAAAGCAAGCCACTTCAAATCCTGCAAGAATGTCCCGAATGCGCCTCGAATGTGCTTCGACTGCTGGTGGAATTTAGGTGGAATACTCCTCAAACGTATCGGAATATTTCGATTGCACTTGGAATACAGCTCGTATGTACATAGAATGCACCTCGAATACAGTCAGAACGTCCCGAATGCTCTTCAAATGAGCCCTGGAGTCATCAGAACACCGCAGAATCCCTTAAAACGTCACTGAAACTTCAGACATCATTCATGACTTCAAGCTGCGCAAGTTGTCTCCAGCCTCCTGGCACCACGTTGTGCTGCTCATCTTCCTCATCCACCATACCATTGTGGAGATTAGGATAACGAGTCCTCATCAAGTTGTGCAGGCAGACACAGCATTCAATGATGTCCTTCACAACCGAAGGCATTGGCAGCATGGTGGTGAGGAGGATTTGCCAACTCTGGGCCATGATTCCAAATGCATTTTCCACTACCCGTCAGCCCCGACTAATCCTGTAGTTGTTGATTCTCTCGTCTCTCTGGAGAGTCCTATGACTATACGGTTTCATCAAGAAGGCTCTTAATCCAAAGGCATCATCTCCCAGAATAAAGCATGGCATACGCTCGTCATCTTGTGGTAAGGAGAACGGGTCAGGAAATCCTATGCTCCCGTCTTCAAGACAATTCTTGAGCTCGCACTTGTTGGATATCTGAGCATCAAACATACTTCCGTAAGCACCAACGTCCGCCTACAAGGGCCATTTGGACCACAGAAAAGATGCCCTTGCAGTTGTGGTACAATGAGTTGCCCTTGGCAGGTTTCCTAATGGCCATATGTTTGTCATCTGAAGCTCCTACGGCTTGAGGTATAGTCCACCTGTTTCTGAATACCTCTTCAATGGGTGTCCATTCTACTGGAGTGGTAGGGCAGATGATAACCTCATCCTTGTATTCCCCCAAATGACCTTACATGCTTCTGAGATGATCAGGCTGATTGTGTCTCTTGCCACGCGGAAGCTGTACATGATGCTGGGGCATCACCTGAAGCCAGGAACCTCAATCTGATGGCTAGCTTCAAGCCTGGAGGTAGCACCTTTCTCATATATGTACCCTGCTTCTGTATTCTTGATCCCACTTTCTGCACCAACTCATCAAACATGGCAGGCTCCATCCTAAGGTAGTTGAAGAATGACTGCGTGTCCCAAACTCTGAGCTCTTCAGGGCTTGAAGTGGCTTGCTTTTCAATTCTCCCTCGAATACTTTCAGAATACTTAGAATGCAGTTAGAATGCAGTAAGAATACTTAGAATGCAGTTAGAATGCACTTCAAATGTTGTTCGATATTTTTCCACCTCGAATGTATCTCGAAAGTTTTGAACGTGTTCAAAACATTCGGGCATGTTACAAGAATTGACACGAATAGATGGAGTGCATTTTTAGAAGTTTTAGAATGCCGTTCGAATTTCCAAAAATCGCCGGGAATTTTCATTCCGACGGCATTCCGGCTCATTCGCCCCAAATGTGAAGGGGGTACAACATATGACATCAAGATCTTCCTTATTCCGAGCATAAATTCATCAATGAATTTTTAACAAAACATTTGAAGATACTCCAAGTCAAAGCTGGTGTTTCTAAATTGAAACATTGTGCAACAAATAGAATGTTGCTTTTGAACCACTTACGCTGAAACATATAATAACATGGAACGAGCGTGTCAACACCCTGCTCTAAATACAAGAAGGGATACCTTTATAAGTCAAGATGACATAGTGAGCGAGTGATTGAGTGAGTGAGATTTTACGCCTTTTTCATCAATATCCAAACAATACCATGGCGAGGGACACCAGAAATGTTCTTTAAATAATCCCATGTCCAAATAATTATTACATATGTAACAAGCTGCTATCTACATCTGTCTACATGCATAAAGCTTGTGAAGTGTCACAGGGCACTGACACTTGACACGTGTCTGAAACACAAGTAACAGGCATATGAAGAAAGATATTTCCCCAAATGATACGAGTTATTTCTATTTCGCGGTCAGGACATGAAAGACACCACCTCCCCATCCAACCCCACCCCCATCTATCATCAGTGACCAGGTGAAACCTTCAGATCTGACTAGTGCTTGCTTGTCATGATTGAAGACCTATGCCACGAGGGTAAGATGTGTTTACTGTAGTAAATATATGACCTGTTGCCCCATGATAGAGGTTTTATTAACACTTTGAATTACTGATGTTGAAATCTCGCTCTTGTCACGTGGTAGTGGCAAT